ATAAAAACAATTACTGGTTTTACATGGCTTTATTTTAGATACTTTTTAGGCTGATATAACATGTTATTGTTAATAAAGTGAGCTTTATATTTGTTGCTAGGAAGATTTTGTTACCTTTGGACTGAGCCAATGTTTCTCTCTGTCCAGTCTTTATGCTAAGCTAAGCTAACAGGCCGCTGGCTGTAGCTTCATATTCAACATTCTAGTGTAAGAGTGGTATTAGTCTTCTCGTTTTGCCACGAAAGCTAACTTTTCATTGAATTAAGTGGGGGTTTCTTTGCTTGAATGCTTTAGCAGCATTTTGTTCTTTTGTTGGCCTTTTCCTTAAGCTTTAGTTCAATTATTGTTGTTATTTCATGGGGTTAGGATAGGCAGCAGACCTTGTGATCTTTTATTTTTCAATTTAAAATTATTGGAGTTGTAATTGTGATTTTATATGTTTTTTTTATCTGCAAACAATAACCTTTTCACGACACATAAACCAGAGGTCTGTCATAAGCACATACTTGTTTTTCATAGAAAATGTTGGCTAATGCAAAGACACAAAGCATTTTAAATACATGCAGTGATTGCTGTGAAAATATCATTTTTGTGCCTATTGTTAAGGTCTGATTTGTTTCACTTGTTCCTGTGAAAGCTGTATTCAAAGGTCATGATGAAGTGCTCCTCATATTCTGTTGCGGTCGTTAGAGAGAACATTTAAACAGAATTATTTGTATTCAAATGTCCTGCTACAATGGAAAACTTGCAATGTGATCTGATATATTCCTACTTCGCCTTTATGTCTTTCTATATTTGTGTTACTCCTTACTCCACATGTTCCAAAAATATATGATCTGCTTATTATTTGGAGCATATTTCCATATATTTGCAACTTAATGAGGGAAAGTTTGGATTCCTTAATGCCCTAACATAGAAACAATGTTAGAAACACACGTGTTTGTCGACGTAGCAGTGTTTGTTGATTAATGCTTTAATTATCTTAATGATATAGTTAGCACAAGTACTTATGTTTTATCAAAAATGATTATGGCAGGTCATTAATCTGCAACTGCCTCTTGTTTTTAGTGTATTGTGCTTAGGAAACAACAGACTAGCTTAATGAACAAAATAATATCCATCTAAACATTTAAAACTTTACTATCAAAATCAGAATTCCTTTATTTAGTGGGGAAGTTTACAGTGTAACAACAATAGTGGCATACTGTAGCAGTATATAAGGCAAACAATAATACAAAAAGAAGAAAAGCACACATTGGTAATAAAATAAATTAGTACACAACCACGGCTAAAAATTAGTAGCTGCAATAATAAAAAAAAGAAGTAAAAGTGATCCTGGGTTGAGTAACCGTCACCATCAGTGTCATATTAACATTTGATGAGTTGGTAAGCTCGCCTACGAGACAGTCACCTACACACAAATACCATCCAGATAATACAGCTCCTGCTTTGTGTCTCCCCAGCACAATGGCGGTGGTGTGTGTGGTCTGGCCTCAGTAGCCTGGGCCTGGCATCTGGCCTGTGACCCCGCAGCCCCTCTGTCTGTGTCATTATGATACTGATAGTGAGGCTGTGAATAGAGGCAGCCCGGACTCAATAGAGCCGGCTGGGATGGCCACATAAAGGCCGTCAGCATCTGTCTGTCAGCGCAGACTGATTACTGTACATGCGTGTAGTAGACAGGAGGATATAATGAGGTACCTTTTTATTATTGATGCTGTTATTCTGCTGTCTACCTGCTGTTAGGTGGGCTTGTGTTTGCTTCAAGTGGCTTTTTAAAACGGAGCTTAACGTTGAGTATTTCTTTTGAAGACACTCCACAGAGGAGCACTTTATCTTCTTAATGGGAATTTTGTCAAATGGAGCTGCATTGATTAGTGCATCAGTCGTTTGGCTTGCTTTTCGAGCAAAAGCGTCAACAATTAACTGATTTTGCTTCAAATGTGAGAACTTTCTTTTTCTCATCAAAATTGTAAATCGTACATCTTCAGGTTTTACATTTTAAAAGAAGACTTTTAAAGAATTCACTTTTGTCTTTTGGTCTTGAATTTAAAAGGTGATTTTCAATCTCATTCTAGATGTTGTAAATCAAACTATTGATTACCACTCAATTGTTTGATCCATAAACATTTCAGAAAAAAAGGTTTATCATAGTTTCATAAAAAAATGTTTTTTTTGTAACCAGCAGCCTAACACTCAAACTTAATTTTGATAATCTGCCAAAATCTACCCAATTTGAGAATCTGGAACTTGTACATTTTTGACTACTTTGCTTAAAATATGAAAACTATTCATCCATTTCCTAAATGTTGCTGAATAATTTCCAAATTGCCTAATGGGCATACATAATAGGTATGTACGACATGGTACAGTTCACAGTCTGTTGTCTCTTTGTTCCTGCTGGATTAGCCCCAAACATATCAGAGGCCCAGCAGTTTGAACTTGATGACCTCTCTGTGTGGCTCAGTGAGTGTTTTGTCCATTAAAAGGCCATGTCATGACAAGCTGAAGCTTGAAGAGTCGAATGGCTATTACCAAGTAATCAGGTTACTCAGCACTTCTCCGCTGGTCTTAACAAATGGGTCACGATGGCTGACGCACTGTAAAGTTACACCTCTGTTTGGTTTCGGTTTATTCTTTATGTGCTTACGTGTGTTGAGGTCTATTTTCTCATGTATCCCTGGGCTGTTGCATGAGGGACCATCACACTGTAGCTGTAGTCGCCTGCGGGGATCTTGAGGTGACGTTAGCACATTAGCCGGCCCTTTAAGAGGTCAGCGGTCGGACCTCAGAGTGATACCTGTCCCGCAGGCAGCTGTAAGCAATTTTACCTGACAGACAGATGGAATTACATCTGCCTTCAGGCTACTGTACCTGATGAAGAGTGATTACTGAGAGCCCTGAACACATTCTCTCACCTGTGTAGCAGCAGAGATGTCACTGCGTTGGTCACAGCATTTTACAAATGTCTGTCATCAGCACCTTCCAATATGGTTGAAGGCAGTGTCTTTATGATGTTGGCGTCTCCGGCTATGTTTAGTCCATCAATAGCACTTGGGAAAGGCTGCAGCCCTCTCATTGATTTCAATATGATGCTGCAGACTTGACATAATAATGATTCACACCAAAAGTTGAACGCATACATGGTAAATAACGTGAATAAAAACACAGTGAATAAAGGGCTAATTTCACCTTTGACCTGGCAAGTGTACAACAAAAGATAAAATGTTTGTCACCATGGTTATTTCCAGAGTAGTACAATCCAGTCTTGGTGTGGTGCCTTGTTCTTTTTCTTGCTTTAGCAGGTACAAGCTTCACGAATAGCACTCACAGAGATATCACTGCAACCTCTCTGGAATACTGTATGGATGAAGCTGATGTGTTTGAAGTCCTTGAGCTCTAGGATGCAGTCTCATGCTGAGAAGGTTTTATTTAAGGCAAGGCAAGTTTATTTATATAGCACTTTTCAACACAAGGCAATTCAAAGTGCTTTACAAAAAATGAAAGACATTAAGAAAATGGCATTTAAAATCAGTCATTAAAAAGAAAAGCTAATAAAATAAACATTAAAAGAAAAAATACATGGATAAAAGTTACAGTGCAGTCTAAGATATGAATAGTTCAATTAAACATTAAAAGAAAAAGTACATGGATAAAAGTGACAGTGCAGTCTAAGATATGAATAGTTCAATTAAACATTAAAAGAAAAAGTACATGGATAAAAGTTACAGTGCAGTCTAAGATATGAATAGTTCAATTAAAAGCAGCGACAAAATGAAAAGTCTTCAGCCTGGATTTAAAAGTAGTCAGAGTTGCAGCGGACCTGCAGGTTTCTGGGAGTTTGTTCCAGAGATTTGGAGCATAATAACTGAACGCTGCTTTACCATGTTTAGTTCTGACTCTGGGGACAGAAAGCTGATCAGTCCCTGAAGACCTGAGAGATCTGGATGGTTCATAATTTAGCAGGAGGTCAGAAATGTATTTTGGGCCTAAACCATTCAGTGCTTTATAAACCAGCAGCAGTATTTTGAAATCTATTCTTTGACACACAGGAAGCCAGTGTAAAGACTTCAGAACAGGAGTGATGTGATCCACTTTCTTAGTGTTAGTGAGGACTCGAGCAGCAGCGTTCTGAATTAGCTGCAGCTTCCTAATAGATTTTTTAGTGAGACCTGTGAAGACACCATTGCAGTAGTCGAGTCTACTGAAGATAAAAGCATGGACAAGTTTTTCCAAATCCTGCTGTGACATTAGTCTTTTAATCCTAGATATATTCTTTAGGTGATAGTAGGCTGATTTAGTAACTGTTTTAATGTGACTGTTGAAACTCAGGTCAGAGTCCATGACTACATCTAGATTTCTGGCTTTATCTGTTGTTTTGAACATTGCAGACTGAAGCTCAGCGCTCACTTTTATACGTTCTGACTTGGCTCCAAAAACCATTACCTCAGTTTTATCTTTGTTTAATTGGAGAAAGTTCTGACACATCCAGTCATTGATTTGTTCAATGCACTTACTCAGTGTTTGAATTGGAGCATAGTCTCCTGGTGAAATTGTTACGTACATTTGTGTGTCATCTGCATAGCTATGGTAACTTATTTTGTTGTTTTTCATTATCTGAGCCAGTGGTAGCATGTAGATGTTAAAGAGAAGAGGCCCCAAGATGGAGCCTTGAGGAACCCCACATGTCATATTTGTCAACTCAGATGTGTATTTACCTATAGAAACAAAGTTGTTTCTGTCCTTTAAGTAGGATTCAAACCAATTTAGAACTGTTTCCGAAACTGTTTAAGCTCTTCTTAAAGGCATTAACACTTCTTGTATTTCCAACACATCAGGGAAAACATGTTAAAACACAAGGTTTCCTCCCATTTTGTGTATTCCTACTGCAAACATCTCCCTGTAAGATTGTCATCAATGTTTCTAAACGAGACACAGATCTACCTGGGTTGTGCATCCAATCGTTTGTCTTCAAATCTCTTCTCTTTTTGCGTGAATAGAAGTTTCCAGAGCTGAAGTTCAAGTATGTGGAGGAAGACCAGCCGGAGGACTTCTTCATCCCCTACGTCTGGTCCCTGGTCTTCAACGCTGGAGTTGGCCTTCACTGGAGCCCGCACGGCATCGAGCTGTTCAGCATGGACTCTGGCTGAAAAACAACGAAGCAGATGTGCGTGTGTCTTCATCTCCAGTCAATATAAGAAAAAAAAGAAAGACTGAAGGCATGTGTGTGTTTGTTTGGGTGGGTGTGCGCGCATTGCCCTTTATAGTATGTGCACGCTGCTTTGAAAGTGCCTCGACCTTGTACAGACTGGTGTTTCTTTTTATGCAGCACAACCTCTTTCTCCATCATATCATAAGTCCTCTGCTTCTACACTGTGAAGCTTCATCTGCACTGGTTAACTGTTAACGCAGTCGGGCCAAATTATATACAGTCAGGCCTGTAGGGATTATATATTCAACACCTGAGCAGCATCACTTGTTTCTGCAACACATGCTGAGTTACTTCTGTAAAACACTTGGTTATTGTGAGGAGCTCAGGACACTGGCGAGGGATAATCCAACGGTTTTTTTCTTGCTTAAGAAAAGGTCAATTCAAACACATGCACCTAAGTGTTACACTGCTCTGGTTCTTTTACCCGCTGCACTGAATGCTAAGACATCCACTTCATATTCAAGGCTTGGAAATCATACAACACACGTTTATGAATAACTTATGTAATATTGAGTTTCTCATTATTACCGTTTTATTTTGACCAACATTGTTCTCTGGATACAGATACAATGGGTTTGTATAAAATATCATTGTTTGTAAAATACGTTTGTTTGTAAAATACATTTTAGAAAAAGGTCATAGAAAGCGAGAAAGTGATCCCCTTCAGAAAGTCTGGTGTTTTTTTTATAACATGCATGGCTTTCAGATTAGAGTCCACCAGTGTTTCTTGGTGGCCCTCCCCCCATAATCCCCTTTGAATATCATAATACTTATCACTGTTCTTTAGTCCCTGGATAATATGAGCGGTCCGCAGGACGCCGATTCATGTGATTTCATTGTTGCTTCCGGTTTGTTTATTTGACTTTACCCTGACTTTGTTGTTTCCATTTCTTCCTGATGGTTACCAAAGCAACAACCTAAAATAGGACGAAGTTATTAAACATCCTGTCCTTTGTGCATAATTACACTTGGCTTTTTGATTTGTCACTTTATTTGCATCTTTGACTGGAGACTTTGTATTAAATTATTTATTTTTCATGGATATTGTTTTTTTTATATATGAAGCCCTCCCCCCCCTACCAATGAGAGAAAAAACGGTGGTACTATACTTTGATTGTGGCTTTATATTATTACATATAATATGACAACAGCTGTCATTTTTGTGGCGAATTTTACTTTGGAAATAGGAGTTTAAATAAAAATATGAAATCCAATGAAGTGTCCTGTGGTTATTCAGAAAAGGGAAATACCATACCATTACGGAAAGAATATAGACATAAAGGGTCAATATATTTGACTGTGCATGAAGTCTAAAGATGATACTAATTGTTGGATTGACACAGATAACGTCAGGGTTCAGAGTTAGCTAATCATATGGTATTGATCTCATCATCGAATACTTGCCAAGATAGCAGAATTTATTTAGCAAAATGTAAAGAAATGCAATATTTGTTGTGACTGTCTTTAATTTGATTCAACCAGGTTGATGTTCTCATCACTTAATGTTCATGAAGGTTCCTAAGGATGTTAAACTGCCTTATATCTTACGATAGGAAGGTACAATTACAGGAAAGTCCTTGTGTGTAGCAGAAATTGTTTTTTAATTTGCCCTTCCTTTTTCCAGCAGCAGCTCCAGTTGTGGGATGGAGATAGTTACGGTTTAATTTTTCCATAATCTGGAAAATATTGACATGTTGACTGATACTGTATGAACTTCATCAGTGCTTCCTTGGCTTACAGTTTTTTCAGCTACAGTGCTTGATTTACTCTGCAACAACTCAAATGAAAAACTCCTAAAGACCAGCAGTCACATCCTCTTTAAATTTATATCATAGAATAACAATCCAATTTAACAGTGTGTTTCTCATGTTTCATTGTTTCCTGTTGTGGTCATGGTTGCAGAGGCAGCTGAAACATAGGCATGAAACCACTTCGGGGGGGAAAAGTTTATGGCACAATGGCCCCCACTGTTTCGCTGGAGCTCCCACTTCCAAGGATAATTTCATGCTTTTCGTCTCTTTATTGTATCGATTTTCATGCCTGAAATTCTCTTATTCTCAAGGACAATGTAATGGATGCAATTTGATGCAAAGAATGGCCCATTTTCAACGAGGGGTCGTCAGTAGGTTGCAGTGAGGCTGCTTGCTCCAGGACAAATTATCCGGACTCTTTCTCTCTCTGCACCAACGCTCACCTGCTTCCAGCTCCATTATCCACAGCCAGATGGTCAAGGGGAGCTTTTCACAAAGTGACATGGCCCTCCTTGTTCCATCATGGTGTGGGGGTCAATTTACCATGGGCTCCCGTTTCAGGTGACAGCAGGGAGACGGATGGGGCAGGGGCTTCTGGGATGGGTAGTTTATTTATTTTTTACCGGCTGGTACCTTTTCTTCAAGGTCTAGGTGATATTGTGTGGCAGCGTGGCTCCAGAGGCAGAGGTCACACCCAGATCAGCGTCAGAAGTGTAAAAAGTAGACTAGTTTGCTGAGGTGGCTCTGTACTAAGTACTGGTTGCCCCTAGTGACACGGAGCTCATTAATATGACAGATTACCACGGTTACGCTTGAAGGTCGTTAGGTTCAGTGGTTTTAGCATTAGGTCACAGCCGGCGGGAAACTCGTTCACAGCATGAGAACAGCACCAAGAGTTACATATAAATACATAAAAGTACAGACAAACGGCACTTTCCCACTGTAGGGCCTCACTCGGCTTAGGTTAGGCCTCGTTAGGTCTTGTTAGGCCAGGATCACTTTATGCTGCGTTTCCATTACAGTTTAGGAACTGGGGTAGTAACTATAGTATGCCCCCCCCCCCAGGATTGCCAAAGCACCCCCAAGAAGTATGTGTTTTTTTTTAAATTATTAATTAAATACAAAATTAAATTAGAAAAAATTATTGATCACATCAATGCAAATGTGAAACAAACACATTTTTTACCAAAAACATAAAGCCAACACAGGTGATATGATTAGGCCAATGGCCAGCACCCATTAGATTTTTGACCTATCCATAGGCTAAATTACTTTGTGACACTTGAGTGACTTCCTGTTAGCTAGAGCGCCAAATTATTTGCAAACAGCAAAGTGAAAAATGTATCGTTTTTTCCTTAAACGTCCACATCAATCAAAACCACCTGAAAGCGAGAGGGATTCTGCACATAATATGCCTCGTGAGTACAAGTAGCTTACTTCTGGGTCTCTGTGTTTCATTCAAGCTCTGCTATCTACCGGAGATCGTTGTGGTTAGCTAGCCAAGCTAACGGATATAAGGAACTTTTTCAACAACAAGGTGGAGGGAGAACTCTTTCCTGTCAGACTGAGAGTCTCAGATAACCTCAGCTCAGGTGAAGTAAAGGACTCTCAGTGTTTAGATAGTTCACTTTAGTCTAGTTATAACAGTGGGTCTCAAACGGGTTGTTTTAATAGGGGAGTGATTTGTAAAATATCTATAAAGAAATGGAAAATCTGTTTACAGTTCTGTTTCATATGGGTGTTGAGAGATATATCCATAGATCTGTTCATTTTGCTCTCAAAGTGCACCAGATTGATGCTTTTAACTTCAATATTAAAAAAAAAAAAAATCTTCCCGGGGGAGCATGCCCCACTACAGGAGGTGAAGTCCACTCCCCACTTGTAAAAATAGCACTTTATCCCTGCTTACACCTATATGCCGTGAGCTGATTATCGAGCCTTCATTGTAACAGTCGTGGGCACACTGTAGAGCAGGCATCCTCAAACGACGGACTCCGGTCCGGATCCGGACCGAACCACCACTGTCTCCGGACTCTGAGCAAATTATACTTTTCATATGTATTATCTCTCTGCATTATATGTGAGACATCGCCACAACGCATTCGCAACGAGTCAAAATGATCCGCTATGTCCACTGCAAACAGCGCTCTGCGTGTCTGACTGTTCCACTGTGTTCCACCTGTGTGTGTCAACGCTTTGGTCCAATCACATTCAGCATCCAGTCAGCGTTTTTTTCCCCCAAACAATCTGCGAATCAGAGGCACAGTAGGGCGGGTCTTCGCGGAATGCGGGTGGGAAAAATGTGTGTCTCTTTCAACCTGTCTAAGTCAGAGCGAGAATTAAAAAAAAAAAAAATTCAGAGCGAGAGTTAACAGCTCATCTAGTTCCATCTGTACTGTAGCTAGTAGCCTAGTTTCACCTACCGGGGTGGCAACTGACACCCTAAAAATAGGCCTTGCCACCCCAGCTGCCACCCCAGTTGGCAGCTTTGTTTTGAAAGAAAAGTTGTGGCTCATCGGACATTTATGAGAGAAAGTCTCCAAAGTCCGAGTGCAAGTGAATGCAGCACAAGATGCACGTCATGCACGTCCCCCGGTCCTGGCGCGAGCGTGGACATACGATTGGCGGCGATTTCATTTTGAACTGGACGGCGCAAAACGAGAAGCATTCGGACCCAAACGCTGAAGGAATGAGGTATTTGCGGTCTACAATGACAGAGAAGAGACTGTCAGTTTGGCTGTACTCAGCATTGAATCAAAACGCACTAAAGCTGTTGATCTTAATACGTTTGTGAGGCGTTTCGCTGAACAAGATGGTAATCGCCGCATTCAGCTGTAATAGACATGTCAACTTGATGCTCTGCTCACGGATGAGCATACACAACTATTAAGATGATGACCTTACGTGTGTAAATATATTGTCTTCTTTGTGGGGGTCTGCCCCCAAAAAACTGTTTTAAGTCCTGAGAAAGTCAAATAAGACGGTGTGTAAAACTACACTGCCCAGCCAAAAAAAAGTAACCACTTTGATTGAACTAGGCCAGTAGGTAAGGACTTTCCACTGGATAATAACTGCAGTATAAAAGAATGCATGACTGAAGTGATGGAGACCATGTTGAAGGCAAACAAAAATAGGAAATAACAGGTAAAATCAAGCAAATCCCCCTCTCAGATTCCACAGCAACCAGAAGAACATAAATACTGGCTGGTGATTTGATTCATCAGCTTTGTGATGGAATGAAACATGCACAGTGCATTTCCTTAGCTGTGGGTGAGTCCACTGACACCACTGACAATGCTCAGTTGCTGGTGTTTGTGAGTTTTTATGATGAGGCAAAGGGGGAGTTTGTTGAAGATGTGTTGGGCCTGACGATCCTCAGTGGACACACAAGGGGGCAAGACATTTATAAAGCAATAATGGGAATGCTGAATGAAAGAGGGTGCAGCTGCCTTTATTCATAACTGTGCAGCTCTTACACTGCGACTCTGAGGGGTCAAGCACAGACACAATAACAATGAAAACTGCTGCATACAGATTATTTTTGTTTTTGCAACCTCGTGTTAAGAATCTTGTTGCAATTGTTTAAAAGTTTGAATGACCGTAATAAACGGACCTTTGTCTTATTGAAACATTTATTTTGGACCTTTAAGATTTGTATTTGAGTACCCCTGCTGTAGAGGGTTCTCAATACTCAAATTTCCCCTCCTCGACTCCTCGGTCCTCCGGTAGTGACCCGGAAATGAATTTCAGCGCGCCATTTTGAAGGACATCTCATTTCTCTAAATGCACATCGAGGACCGAGCATCGAGCGTAGAGGAGGCTCTCTGGAGGAGCTATAACCGAGGATACACTGATGGTTCCTCCACGGCTCCTCGGCGGATGCATTTCCGGGAACGGTGGAGGCGTGACGCACGGCCGGACTTATCTCAGCCAATGACAGCTCTGCATGCATCCTCTGGATATTATTTTAGAAACTGCTTTCATCGCGTCGCAATGTTTACAGTGAGAACAGCAGTGAGGTCCGTGCAGAAAGCAGAGCAGTGTACAACATATATCACTCAGTATAACAGGCCTACATTACTCTCTTTATTTGCTGTAGTTTAGTAGATATCTACAAACAAAGAGTCGATATTTTTCTAAGACCATTTAGTGCTTCACATAATAAAATACACAACGGCTGTAGCCTGATTAGTGATTATGCTTTAGGAGCTGTAAGTGTGTGTGGTAGGCCTACAGTGTATGTGTGGTACAGTATGTAGGTGTGTGTTGTACAGTGCGTAGATGCGGCGGACAGACGGGTCTCAGTTGGTTTGGTGTCCTCTGCTTACTTTTAATACTTGTAAATACAACTTTTGGCCCGTAATTTAAATTCCCCATTTCAGTGACCAGAGAGAGGGGGGGGATATATCCAGTATCTGATTGTGTTACGTTATTATGAGAGTGCTCTCATACTTTAAATTGTA